GATGCGAACAATTTCTAGGGATTATTCTAGTTACATTGATCGTTAATGAAGGTTCGCAGGGTTGACACGTAATGATGGTTCTTTAATAGCAATAACTCACTCGAAATTTAATCTCTGCAACTCTCTGTCAACCCTCTCAGACTGTCCTCACACCCCATATACCCCATACAAGTTTATTCGCTTTCATTTTAATTTTTAATCTTGAAGAATATAATTTTCTTCGTCATAAATAGTCCTTTCTCTCGATCCTCTTGCGTCCTTCCATGTGCATTGACAGATATTAGCCAATCTTATTTGCTCTTCCATTGTTGTTCTCTCAGGAATGCAACCATTTCATTCCCGCAACAAGGAATAACGCTTCTTTAATAGCAATAACTTGCTAGACTATCTCTGGACTCGCTCAAAATTTAATCTCTGCAACTCTCTGTCAACCCTCTCAGACTATCTTCACACCCTGTACCTACCTTCACACATTCGCTTTTATTCTAATTCTCAATCTTCAAGAACATCATTTTCTGTACCATTACCATAAGTCCTTTCACTCGATCCTTTTGCACGTGGTCACTTTCGTCCTTCCACGTGCATTGACAGATGTTAGCCCAGCACTACGTATTTGCTCTTTCATTACTGTTCTCTCAGGGACCCATTCCATTTCCACAATAAGGAAATCGGATTTGGTGTCAATTAGTGTAGAAAAGTTAGGTAATATGTCCAATGACATGCACGTCTCGTGATTCCATAATTAGGTTCCTGTCTGATAGTTTGAAACGTTCGAGTCTACGCGTGTCTGACTCCTCGAGTAAACCCTTGGCAAGTTGGTCAGGATGGTGATTTAGCTTTCTTGCTTGATAAACAAAATTGACAGTATTTTTCGTATTGCGTCATTATGAACCATGCTGCGTTTGTAATTATGCGTAAAGTTTCTAATTAAAATGACTGCAGGAGGTAGCATCATCTAATTATCTATGTAGTAATTGTCTACGTGACACGTGGCAACTATAGTCTCAGGGATATCAATTGTCACATCGCGTCCTGTAATTTACATCCCACCATGTCAAATTCCGCGATAATTTACAGCCAGATACCGAACTGTCAAATTTCAGAAGCCAGAGCAAAGTTCAGAGATATGAAACGATATTTTTCAAAAATGAAGAGCACTATTTCGACCGTCAAGAAAAGCTCGCTATTTCACGGAGTAGCATAACGTGTACAGAAAGCGTGGATATTTGTCTTGAAAACCGTAGATCGCGAAAGACCAGCTCCCACAGCTCCAGTTCCATCAGCCCGAGGTCCTAACGACCGAAGCATCTTCTTCCAAGTGCAACGCCTCGGGGGGCACCTAATCCTACTCGTCGAGGTCGCGCCAGTAACAAGTATCAAGCACACCTCGAAGCATAGTTCTTCGGTATCGAGGTATCGACCCTCGAGCCAGGTCCCTCGTCTCCCATAACTCGGGTCTCGATCGGTAACTCTGCCTCTGCAACGAACGCTTCTCCAAGACGTAGCGAGTTTCGTCAAAATCTGTCCGCCATTTTGCAATCCTCGATTGCAGGATGCTTCCCTGTCCTCGAATAATCACGCCATATTGCGTTCGATCAACCAGCGACGCGTATCACGCTTAATCTCCAAGGTTCCGTGCTCGAAGATTCGCTCGAGCTTCCACGGCCATAGACTACGCGACTAGTAGACCCGAGCGCGGGAAATTTGAAATCGACGAAGCGCCAAACTCCACTCGGAGGAGTATAAACGACGCGGGGACAGGTTGGGGCAGTGGCGGGTAAAAGTGGAAGACAGAGGGCGACACGGGGTGTTAATTGCCTCGTAATTCGTTCCTCAGGTACGCGATGCACAGGGTGCATCTCGCATTTGCATGTCCGCGCAAGCCCGCAGCCGCGATTTGAAATTTAAATCGGAAATAAACTAGTGGCTGGCTGTGTGCGTGTTCCCGCCGGGAAATTTCGACTTTAATTAAATTATTCATAGGAGACGTCGGACAGGTTCACCGGGTGTAATCCTTTATTCAGGCTTAATTCCCTGGGGAATTCCTAATTATCCTTTGTCCGCGTTCGCGCGGGCCATTCATACTTTCCGCCAACTCGAGGAATCCGTCGCTGCCTAGCGTCATCTTGAACCCATCTGAGCCCGCGAACCGCGCTCTAATTAAAAATTCTGGACAAACCGTGGGTTTATAGTGCAGCAACGTTGACCCAAGATCACGGGCGGAACCAGGCTATAAATAATCCACGTGTTCATCGGCGGGAATGAAAATCTGCCAAGTCTAACGAGCCCGGAGACAAGGAAGCCGATGAAGCGTCTCTTGCAAATTACCATGACATTTCATGGGAATCGTCCTTAACCTTTCTCCGTCCCGTTCAGCGAGGCTGTAATCAGAAATCGATATTAATCGCCGCGGAAGCGACTCGAAACCCTGGCCGATCGTAATCCGAACAACGAGACCTTGCTTCGAAGCCTCCACTCGCCATTTACTTTCCTGTTTGACTTGCCGATTACCGTGGTTCGATTGACTTTTCAGTTCCCGTTTCCTGTTATTCTTCCACCCGCTTCCGCCCCGGCCTAACCTTTCAGGTACCGTTCCCCTGATCTTTCTTCGATTACTCGCTAACTGGATGAAACTGTAGCGGTTCGTTTGCCTCGTTTAAGCATCGACCAGGCGTGCAACGCTTTGTTATCCCTCGCGGTACTCGTGTAATCTTGCTCGATAGCGTGTAGCCCAGCGGACGCGATTCGAGGTTGCAAAGAGCGGAGATAATGGATAAAGATGAAAGGGGGTTAAGTCGGTTTTGCTCCGTTCCCTGCGAAATTGCACATCAAATATTCGCATAAACTCGCGAATATACGCTTATCGCTAATGAACGTAAATCAAAAAGGCTGCTGTGAATGCTCCACGCAGGAATTCCCGCTATTCGACGGGGAACAGAAGTTTCAGCCTGTCATAGATTAATTACCCGCTGCTATCGTTATTACAAGCTTTGCTAAGTTCAACGGACTATGAATACCGGTATTTCGTCTTTGCACGAGTTCATGTCAGCCTGAGTCTACGTGTAATTGATTACTATCCCGTTTCATCCGAAATCCGGGAGCTAATAACAGCCAATGTCACGTGTACACTTATTGACAGCAGTCAGAGACATCGTAATTATTCGCGAATTTTTGCATAATTCTCGTGCTTCCAGACACTATTAAAGTTGGTACAACAGTGAAACGGATCAGTGGAACAATTTTCGTTACGTATTTCGCTTTTCGTTTCACTCGAACTGCCAATTCGTCGACTCGAAGTCGCTTCAAAACTTGACAAGCGATTGACTCCGGGTCAACTGAGAAATTTTGTTTGAGAAATTCGCAAACGATTGATTCGAAGTCAACTGAGAAGTTTGGCTTGAAAAATTCGCAAACGATTACTTGGTTTCTTGACACGTATCGGGAGTATGACAGCGAGTTGCAAGTTTCGCGAGATTTATATGGAGTTATCGCTTTGGATGCATTGCAGGTGAGGAACTGTGGATTGCTGGTGTAGGACCTCGGCCCCAGGAGTGGCCCGGGGGTTACCCTGGGGACCTCGGGGAAGTGCTCGCGCGAGGACGAAGCTGCTAAGAACGACGAAGGACACGGGAGGCGGAGGAGGAGGCCGCTATGAACGCCAGCGTCAACATCGAGAGGAACTCCTGGCGGCTGCCTCCCGACGAGACCGTCCAGGTCGCCGATCCCCGTTCCAAGTCAGCCCAGGTAAAAGAGGTAAATCGCTCCAGCGGTCCACCGTGCGTTACCCCCTGATATTCGAGATCGGTCGAGTTTCGTCGGGACGCGTGGATAATTTGTCAGGTTCTCAAAGCATGACACTGTCTTGTGCCTCTTCACCTCTTCGACAATCACAGTATGATCGTAGTTTCCGAGTCTCCGCGCGGTACCCTGCACCATAGACTAGTGCACAGGGTGCAAAGTGCGTTGGTGTATGGTTTGGGGGATGTTTCAGGACGAAAATGTTTCAATTCGTAATCCTTCGAGTGTCAAGTGTCCCTCAGATGCGTGTACAATGCAGTTTGCATATGTTCCTCGATGTTTCCTGTTTCTTTCTCACGGTACCGTTAGGTCATGCAATTATAGTGGTTTTGACTGTTAGCAATGACACCCGGCTGAGAACGTTCCGTAGCCACGGTCACGAGAATAATCGAAACGCATGCTAGTACGAGGATCCTGCATTTGAAGAGGAATGAGATTGATAGTTGCGAACTAGAGTGCCGAATAATATAGAATTTAGCGTTGTAGCCACACCAGTCGCAAACATGTACCGGCCTACCTGTTACGATTAAAGGAACACGTTGATACAATTACGGCAACACGACGCAGTTGGAAAATTCATCGGCGCAACGTCATTCCTGACGGTCATTAACGCGAATGCTAAATTAACACCTGTCGATCGTTAACCAGACGAGAGCATATCGCGGAATCGTTGTTGCGTAGTTCGAATGGACAATAGTCTTCGAAATGAAACGTGCATCGTCGAAATTGTAAACCGAATCCTGAGTCTACGTGTAATTGATTACTATCCCGTTTCATCCGAAATCCGGGAGCTAATAACAGCCAATGTCACGTGTACACTTATTGACAGCAGTCAGAGACATCGTAATTATTCGCGAATTTTTGCATAATTCTCGTGCTTCCAGACACTATTAAAGTTGGTACAACAGTGAAACGGATCAGTGGAACAATTTTCGTTACGTATTTCGCTTTTCGTTTCACTCGAACTGCCAATTCGTCGACTCGAAGTCGCTTCAAAACTTGACAAGCGATTGACTCCGGGTCAACTGAGAAATTTTGTTTGAGAAATTCGCAAACGATTGATTCGAAGTCAACTGAGAAGTTTGGCTTGAAAAATTCGCAAACGATTACTTGGTTTCTTGACACGTATCGGGAGTATGACAGCGAGTTGCAAGTTTCGCGAGATTTATATGGAGTTATCGCTTTGGATGCATTGCAGGTGAGGAACTGTGGATTGCTGGTGTAGGACCTCGGCCCCAGGAGTGGCCCGGGGGTTACCCTGGGGACCTCGGGGAAGTGCTCGCGCGAGGACGAAGCTGCTAAGAACGACGAAGGACACGGGAGGCGGAGGAGGAGGCCGCTATGAACGCCAGCGTCAACATCGAGAGGAACTCCTGGCGGCTGCCTCCCGACGAGACCGTCCAGGTCGCCGATCCCCGTTCCAAGTCAGCCCAGGTAAAAGAGGTAAATCGCTCCAGCGGTCCACCGTGCGTTACCCCCTGATATTCGAGATCGGTCGAGTTTCGTCGGGACGCGTGGATAATTTGTCAGGTTCTCAAAGCATGACACTGTCTTGTGCCTCTTCACCTCTTCGACAATCACAGTATGATCGTAGTTTCCGAGTCTCCGCGCGGTACCCTGCACCATAGACTAGTGCACAGGGTGCAAAGTGCGTTGGTGTATGGTTTGGGGGATGTTTCAGGACGAAAATGTTTCAATTCGTAATCCTTCGAGTGTCAAGTGTCCCTCAGATGCGTGTACAATGCAGTTTGCATATGTTCCTCGATGTTTCCTGTTTCTTTCTCACGGTACCGTTAGGTCATGCAATTATAGTGGTTTTGACTGTTAGCAATGACACCCGGCTGAGAACGTTCCGTAGCCACGGTCACGAGAATAATCGAAACGCATGCTAGTACGAGGATCCTGCATTTGAAGAGGAATGAGATTGATAGTTGCGAACTAGAGTGCCGAATAATATAGAATTTAGCGTTGTAGCCACACCAGTCGCAAACATGTACCGGCCTACCTGTTACGATTAAAGGAACACGTTGATACAATTACGGCAACACGACGCAGTTGGAAAATTCATCGGCGCAACGTCATTCCTGACGGTCATTAACGCGAATGCTAAATTAACACCTGTCGATCGTTAACCAGACGAGAGCATATCGCGGAATCGTTGTTGCGTAGTTCGAATGGACAATAGTCTTCGAAATGAAACGTGCATCGTCGAAATTGTAAACCGAATATTCGCAAATTTCAGCCCACCGAGAATTCCGCGCGAAATTGAACGTAATATCCACGATTCGTCGTGAAATTTACCATCTTCCCGTCCCATTATCGTTTCATTATCCACTCTTCCTTCCGAAGACCTTCGATTTACGTGCACTTTAACACCCCGAAGTAACGATCGTTATACCGTCTCCACCCTGTTGAAGCGCTTCTCGCGAGGAGATCTTGGAATTAACGAAACAATTAATGCAAACTAGCGCGAAGAAACTACCGCGTAAAGTCGTTGCTCCTCTTCTAACACCGGCGAGCGTTAAGTCCCGCTTAACTCGCGACTCGTTGCAAACTGGCCTATAAAGTTGCCGGGTTCAGCAAAAAGCTAGCCTTCATTCTATCCTCCATTCGTCGTCTTTCGTGCACGTCCGTAGACACGGAAACGGAGAGTCAAAGTGGCGGAAAGAAGAGGAACTCGCAGCTACCCTAGGCTCGCAGCTACCCTAGGTTCGCAGCAACCGCTCTGTCTTTGCTGCGTTCACGCACGAGTAACAGGGAATCGGATTACGGGAGCTGGGAAGCGAACCCGATGGAACGCTAATCAATCTCGACGACGTGCCACTCGAGCCACTTACCGTCGATTAATCGGACTTGCAAATGCGCGGCGAGCGTCCAAAGACGAGCCGCGGAGCGTTCGGCTGGCTGGAACTCGATAAAAAGTTCCGCAGGATTTCGAAGACGACGTGGACGAGAGGGAAAGGCGCGCTAATTACGCGGCACCGGGCGAATCAGAGGTACAGAGAGGGTCGGCGAGAGGGGAGGATTCATTATGCAGACCCGGCCTCTAGGTCTGCTCCCTTTGTTTCCACAGCTCTCGTCAACGGCCACGCGAGAATTGACTGTCGGGACCTCGCGACCAGCCCTATCGCGTCGGCTAAACGCCGTGTTGCCAACCGAGGACACCTTCGAGGGCTCCTCGAGAAAGTTAATTATGCAAAGAACGCGAGAGAGGGTTCCACGAAGAAACGGCTGCAGCCGCGCCATCTTGGAAAGACCGCCGCGTTCCAAGGCGGCCGTCTGCGAGCTGCAGATAACTGCCAACCGATTTTCCTCGTATAATTCCACGGTAACCGGGTACCATCGGTATCCCTGCTCTCGTTTACCTGCGAGCATTCTGCTCCAACTCTCCAGAGCTTTCCTCCGCTGATCGCTTCCACCGGCCGATTGAAATTTCGCGGGGTAAGATGACGGGATGGGGCGAATACGTACGTATGCGCGTATTCGAAACTGCCAGGACACTTACAAATATCGGAAATAGCTGAGCACGAAATAAATTAGACGGTTCCTCGGTTTTTCTATCAGCTTCTCTCATAGAGAAATATTTTCCTTCGTTTCGTGAGGATTATTTTTTCGATATTTAAATTCCACGAATTCTTGCTCGAGATGTAAGAATGAGGTTAAATTTGACAATATTGCACGGCTGCATCAGAATTATTTAATACAAATTTTGTCGTCGACTATTGACAATGGATCGTATTCAATTTTGATTTAATTTTTGGGAGAGATAGTTCTCAAGAAAATAATTCACGAATATTCTTTTTATTCACCATCGTTCATATTAAAGGGGTGAAATCGGTAGTCAAAGATAGGGGATGAAGCTATATATTTTTTGAAATGCAAAATATAGCTTCTTACATAGGGAATTAATATCTTTAATGATATATATTAAAAATTCGACACTGATTTATCATTTATTATATTAAATGTTAATTCATACTTGTGTAAATGAATACACATGACCTATAGATTAAAATAGAGGATACGTGTCTTTGAAATTTTCCAGCTCCTTTTATAAATAATTATAATGAATATAAATTAATTATAATGACAGAATGAATAACAATATAATGAATATAAATTAATTATAATGACAAAATGAATAATAATGTAATGAATATAAATTAATTATGACAGAAATGGTTTTCTACCCCCATAGTCAATGTTTTCAAAGTTTTCAATCTTTCAATCAGTTTTCAATGTTTTTGATCATTGTTACTAGTATAGGATATTCTATTCTCTATCATTTTTGGATCTCGAAGTATCCCAAAAGAAGGGATGAAATCTGTACTCAAAGGTAGGGGTTGAAACTATATATTTTATGAAATGCAAAATATAGCTTCTTGCATGGGGAATTAATTTGTTCAATGATAAATATATTACAAATTTGATATTTCTTTATCCCTTATCCTATTAAATGTTAATTCATTCTCGTTTAAATGAATTGCACATGATCTATGGATCAAAATATAGGATACGTGTCTTTGAAATTTTCCAGCTCTTCGCTATAAATTAATTATCACAACAGAAATACTTTTCTACCCTCATAATAAATATTTTCAAACTTTTCAATTTTTCAATCATTTTTCAATGCTTTTGGTAATTATTACTAATGTAGGATATTATATTCTCTATCATTCTTGGATCTCGAGGTACTCCAGAAAATATGCTTCCAATCCCTACCATCGAGGGATGTTTTCACCCCTTTAATACCACCGATGGCCAATAAAAATAGATACGTGTCAAATACTTTTTGAGGCCGCTCTCAAAAATTTAATCAAATTCGGCGTACGCGGAATACCTTCGCGAGAAACGAAATCACATATCAAGACAACCCCTTTCCACGTATTATAATACGATTAAGAATCCTCCTTTCGTCGTTCAATAGATTCTTCGGCGCACAGATTCCTCGGGAGTCTCGCTCTCCCCGTGTCCGACCCGCGCCGGTCTATACTACTTAGCCGATCAGCAGCGCTCCCTTGTGTACCTTACACTCGTCCGGCTGCGAAGTGGCAATCGGCGTTTATTAACCGATCATCGGGTCAGCTACACCGGTACAGCTGGTCGATCAAAAAACGCTGGTTCGCGATACAGACTCTATTCGAGTGTCCTCTCCGTCCCCGGCGAGCGAATAAATTAATTCGAGTTGGCAGAAAGTTGCTCGTAAGTCCGATAACGAGTCGTGATACAAATTCGCACGAGTGCATGATCTTACCGTTGCCTTCTCACCGGCGAGAGACCGCGGGAATGTGATCGAGCCGGCTTCAAAGGGGCATTCTTAGCCCCTAACCTCAAAAGCAGAACTTTGGAAATAGTTTGCGCGGCGCCGTAGAATGTCACGGATACTGGAGTCGCGTCTATCACTGCCTCTCTCCTCTGCTCTATTTATAAACGAACTCTCATAGATATTACGTGTGCGCGTATGCACGTACGGGTGTAATTCCCGTAGAACCGGGAGGCGAGGAGAAAGCGGCGCTGGAATCCCGGATCGATAAAACTGAAGCCTTCAGCGGGAAAGTCTAAATTTATACCGACTGTCGGAATACAACTGCGTGTTTGGATAGCATTTACATGCCGCGCGACAACGTCGCGACGAGGGCTCGCGCGAATTTTCAGACGCATGCAGATTTATTCATGAAAGCCACGCGCGTCACGGCCAGGGGGTTAGGCGTCGTGAGCCATAATCGCGCGGTGCCCGGCGGTCAAATAATTTTCATCGGCTTCCGGCATCCCCAAATTGTTTTGCACCTAGCACGCAGAAATTTGCGTGCCGGGTTGTAATGGAATCCTCGGCATCGTTATTGCGAACGCTCGTCCCGCGGGCTGACGTTCGACAGGGTGAGACAGGCTTGACTCTGCGTCCTCTTACATTTGCTTATATATCGAGTTCCTGAAATGCCTGAATTTCTCCACCAAAACCGGTAAATACGTCACGTCGGTGTACGTATGTACATATATCCTACGAGGTGATCGTGGACTGCGTTTGGGTTCGTGTGTATCGAGTAATCCTCCACTGTCAGCAATATTTTTCTACTTTTATAGGTATACAGAGTGTTTCAGAAGTGCATGACAATGTTTAAAGACCGGAATCTGTCAAGAGTGTCGTGTAGATATATGTCCCACAGGGTGACACAAATTCTCAGTGGACTCCATTATACCAAACTCCATTTAACGTAGAATACAACACTATATTTCAAATTTAGGAAGAGATATTAACTGTTCCATTTAAAAAATTGAAGGTGACCTTTGAATCTTGATAAAGAAGCAAAATAGCGTAGAATTGATTAGACTGCTATATGTGCCCTTGGAATCTATGCAACATCTACTTGACATACTTTATGAGTCATTTGAGGTCGTGACGGTGTTACGAGACTCACCCTGTGTGTCTACGGAGACTGGTTCAT